CTTATTTAACCCCACCCCTTCTCCCAAAAACTAAATTAACTGTTTTGTTTTGTTTTAACAAAATATACATCTAAATGTATGTCTACATACAATATACATTTACAATTATAAATAGTATATCATTATTACTACAATATATATATATTTATGTTGTATGTCAAATTTGATAAGACAAATATAAAAGACTACGTACGGCGTCAGCTAAATTCAACGGCGTCCTAAGTTTCCATGGCTTTCCGACCGAACTCGAGCTGCGAAGACAGTGGCTGGTAAAAATACGGCGCGATAACTTTACAATATCCTCTCACTCCAAGGTCTGCAGCTTCGTCACTTCGCTACGGATCAACTAATAGAGCCAAAACCCTTGGTGGCCGTAGGAGGCTTGTGAAAGGTGCTGTTACCAACTCTGTTTGAGTGGAATCACTTACTGCTCAACACAGCGGGCTAGTTTTTGGGAGAGAAGGGAGCGGCCCCACTGAACCAGTCTCTCGGGAGGAGCAGGAAGAGCACATCGATTGTCCGTGACCATGATTACTGCTCAACCCCTGAACCAGCTTCACTGGACATGTCCTCTCAAGCTACAGAGACAACTCCAAAACAGTGGGGATCTGCAGAAGCAACTGCAGGAGTAAGAGTCCAGCGAGAGTTTTGCTTACAGCGGTTTGCTGGCTCCGACGACAACATCCGATTCTATACCAGGTAATGTTTTGTCTCAATTCTATCCAAGTTTTTGAGATGGGTTGGCTTATAAAGAATCCTGTTTACCTGCCGTGTGACCGCTGACTATATGCATGCAGTGTTGGGATATTTTATTTATTTAATCGTTTATTTGGCAGGGACAATGCACAGTAATGAACACTTAAAACATTAAATGTATCAAGCGTAACAGTGCCAGATTTAGCTTTGAGCTAATTTCCATCTGCAGTCCCTCACATAAAACATTTAAGAAAATTACATTTTACAAACATGGTAAAAACAAAATACATGATATGCAAAAAGTGCAAAAGAGCAAGAGCAGCACACACAAGTATTTACCACATGGCAGTACAATATAGCAGCTACGACATATAAAGTGCAAGAAAAGATAAAAGTGCTAGATAAAGTGCAAGAGGAGATACCCCTCTGTTAACGGAGAGGACATTTTGACCAAAAGTGGTCCGTCTGTGGTGGAGTTCAGTCTCCTCTGGTTTCTGACCTAGTGCAGCGTCCAGTGTGTTTTTTGTCAACTTAACTGAAGTATAAGTACAAATACTATGGTTTTAAAATACTCCTGAACTGAACATGTAGAATCATAAATCATGTGTTTTTCATATATAAAAAGTAACTAGAAACTATGAAGGTTAACTAATGTGGTGGAGTAAAACATACTAATACTAACAACATACTGATAATACTTTACTACAAGTGGAAATCTTCAAAACCTTACCAAAGTAAAAGTATGTCAATATCCACTGCGTTTCCCCCAGTTGCACACTTAAGAATGAAGAGTAAAAGTAAGTCATTGTGTGTAAAATGTTCCCTGTATGTTTTAGATATTATTACTGCTGCTTTAATGTAGTTGTTACATTTTACTGCTGTAGATTACTATACCTGCACCAAGTGCCTTCTTAATCAGTTTGAATTGTAATGTATTATAGCAAACAAGAGGAAAACATTAGCCCATGTGTTACAGTTAACACGATTGTATTTACTGTCAATTAATGACTGACATGTGTCTTTTGTGAACAGATTCCCGAGCTATAACCACCTGATGGCCTTCTGGTCTTTGATTGAGCCTTCAATTCATAAAATGGTTCGTGTTACAAGAGCGATATCAGCTGCCAAGAGGAATGAAGAAGTGGTTACACACGCACGTCCATCAACGGTAGGCTACGTTTCTTTTAACACACAATCTAAACACAAACTGAAGGGAAAATGTTTCTCTGACATTTCATTGCTTTTGTGTAGGCTAAAAGGCTAAAGTACTCAATCCTTTTTGAATACATCAGAGAACTAAAACAACTTCATGTTTTTCCCAGTGTGCTACACTCATGACATTAATATAGTAACCTTTTTTTTTGTTTTTATCTTCCAGAGACAGCTGCTTCAGCCAATTGACGAGTTCTTTCTTTTTCTATGCTTCCTGTCGGTGGGTTTGAAAGAGAGGGACCTTGCAAACCGCTTCAACGTACACCAGTCCACTGTGAGCCGCATCATTGCAACATGGACAAGTTTTCTTACAACTTTATTGGGGTCACAGTGCATCTGGCTTACACCTGCAGAAGTTCAAGCCCACCTCCCAGAGGCATTCAAAGATTTCCCAGACACACAGGTGATCCTGGATTGCACAGAGCTGAAGGTGTCAAACACCATCCTCACTCCTCCTCCAAAGTGAAATGTATTCCACATACAAATCTCACTGCACCATGAAAGCCCTGGTTGGCATAGCCCCACATGGCGCAGTGACATTTGTTTCCAGTCTGTATGGTGGTTCTGTCAGCGACAAGGAGATTTTCAAACAATCTGGAATAGCTGCGTTGTTGACTGAAAACATGGCAGTGATGGTAGATAAGGGCTTCCTGATCAGCGATTGCTGCAAATGCAAGGTGTACTGCCCACCTTTTCTGTCACAGCAGAAACAAATGCCAGCCTATCAGGTGAGGGAGACACAGGCCATTGCCAGACTGAGGGTTCATGTGGAGCGTGTCATTAGGAGGAATAAAAGAGAACAAGCTTTTTGATGGTGTCATCCTCCTGTCCCATGCCTACAACATCAACCAACTGTTTGCAGTAGCATGTATGCTGTCAAACTATCAGAACAAAGCACTGGTCAAGAAATGGGTGAAATAAGACAAGATGATGACACCTGTGCAGGTAGCTGTGATTAAGCTGGGTGAGCACACCGTAATCCCGTGTTGCCTAACACACGCTAGTGTTTTGTTTGAATAAATGGTCAATTGCCAATTACAATGTGTTGATGATTTCTTACAAATGCAATGATTTACTATTAATTACAAAAAATCACTTCACTTTATTGTCTTTTTAAATACAATTGTATATTTATTTACATATATGAAATGTGACAAACAATATATATCAAAAACAAAATATCAAATACAATATTGAAATCACATTTTGTTGTCATTCAGAACATATGATTGAGGGATTGCCTCCTAAAAAACAGCTGAGCCAGGGTCTAGCAGCTAACTGCTTACAGAGTTAACAATGGCTACAGTGCCCACTACTTTTTTAATGACAGGTACTTCGGCATGTATGTGTAAAAAAAAAAAAGTCTACTTTTTCTCTGATTGCTCTTTGCACTTCTGGATCTGTGTATATTCTTTGCACCAGGTAGTCCTCCTGTGCCCACACTACAAAGTCACACCACTGCATCCCAGATACAAGAAGTTGACCCTGTACTTGCCAGTAATAGGCATGGCTTTTCTTGAGCTTAGGGGAGCCACATTCATCTGCACATATTTGCAGTCGACATAATTTGGGACATTGGGACATTTGAATTCAACAAGGCCAAATTGGGGATATTCTGTTGGGTCAAAAACAATTCCATCAGGGGAGGCACCAAGCCAGGGCGTAGAGGGGTGAATGACAAGGCCACAAGGGGAGTAGTTCACGTTTGCCAGTCTACTGTATTCAGCTGCTACTGTGGGCTCCATCTCTGCACCTCTCCTCATTTCTGCAGTCTGCCTTGTACCTTTGAGTATTCGCTCTGTAAGAGAGTTAGCAGAGCTCTCACCTCTGACGTGACAAATCTCTCTAAACCTAGAGGCAGTAACCCTGGGTTTGCGGAGCAGATGCCACTCTGACCTAGAGCTTTGCTCACGGGTAGCCTCCTCAATTTTGTGAGACATTTCCAAATCAACAGATAAGCTGTTCATATGTAGTTGCACCTCTTCTGAGCACACCAGCGGTAAATCACATGGCAAGATCACATACCCCTCTATGGGCAAATGGGGTGTTGGTGGTGTGTCAGTGTGAAGTGTGGTGTACCGAGACGTCAAAGCAGGCATCTGATAGGACAGAACACTGCCCTCCTGCACCATCCCGAAGGCACTTTCCACAAGGGGCTTGTCAGGTCTCATGTTCATTGTGGTCACAAGCGGTCTGTCTTCAATGCTGAATGCTGAGTATGCCTCCGTAACTCTGAACAGGCAGGGATCTGGTAATGGCCCCACCATGCCTCTGTAGAATCCACTCCTACAAAGAATGGCAAAGACAATATAGCACATTAATGTGACAATAAAGGTAAGGAATACAGCACCAGAATAGCATTATGAATTTTAAAAACACAGGAAACACAATATTTCAGCTAAAATTACCTTACTCCAGTCTGCACCATCCTATTTGGTACAGGCTTGGTGAAGACCATGGAGTTGATGGGCCCTGGCTTCACACCCTTAAGGAAAAGACAATTACTGTTAGTTGAGTCACTTTAAAACAAAAACTCTGTGAAAGAAGTATTTGAACCTTATTGAAATTACCATTGTTCGCGGCTTGTGCCATTGCTGTTCCGATTCAGTACAGCTATGCACAGGCGGCACAACTGGCATGTTCAGTTCAGTGTAGTGTGCCGTTTGGAACAGCAATGCTACTGTGTGATTGCACAAAACAGTTCCTGCAACACAGGAGCACTGGTTGTGCGTGAGCACCACTGGTGATGAATCACGAAGCGTTATCTAAAAAAGAGAGAAGAAATACTAGTGATTAGTAACCTCACTTGTGGTAAATGAGCCAGGAGGTTATGAGTAGAGTTATTGGTTATTTTTACTGACCCATTATCCTAGAAGAAGCATGTATTCCTGAATGCTTAGTGTTACCCTCTAACCCTACAATACCACAATGAACCTTCTTTGGAAACTAAGATGCCTTGAAAATGGTATTAAAGCAGTTTTGACTATATATTTGAACCCCCAAACTTACACATCCATAATCAATGTAATAATATCTGACCAATCAGCTGTGATAAAGCAGGGAGAAGTAGGACACTGTTGAGATTCCCTTAAGGTAAACTAATGCTTAACTGAACTGAAACTCAATAAACAGGGGGGAACACAGTGTCAATGCTGCCTGCCTACACTCAAACTGTGTGCTGTCTCGCTCTTCCTCATTGACCTGTAGCACAAGGCTCTCACGCTGACCTGCCCTGTCAGCCTGTCTTTATTGGACACTGAATGAAGAAAAACAGAGCAACAGCGTTAGATCTATACTCACGTCAAAACATCTATGGCAACATTGCTTTACAAAAGCTGATACCATTATGCAGTGTGGCTAACAAGACAACCTTTAGTTGGCTAGGCTATAAGGCTATTAAACGATAGTATTTTTGAGTAAAATGGCTAATGTTTTAAAGAATTAACACCAGAAACAGTACATAGCGTTACCCAGAGCCCTATAGTAGTCTACTATAGTAGTAGTAGTATAATAGTAGTTCTACTATAGGGCTCTGGCGTTACCTAGCTTTTGACAGCTGACGTTAGCGTAACCTGTAGCATAAGCTAGCTGGTTAGTACCTGTTACTCCAGTTACCTTCTTACCTTCATAGTTGTGTATATATGACGCAGCATATAATTTGAAGCCTTTATCGAGTTTGCTGGCTGGGGCTTTAGTCGTCCTGCAAATGCGATGAACATCGCTAATTTTCAATTTCGGGAGCTCCTGTAGACACCGGGTGTAGAACGTCGCCATTGTTGTTGTTGTACCGGAAACAGTTGGGCAGTACTACGCACAATGCGGAAGTGACTGTGCATGTAGCCTATTGTCGGGACTTCCTGCAACAACACCACGCCGTAATCGTGATTCTGATTGGCCAGAAGACATTAGCAAAGATGTTCTATTGAGAAGACGATCACTACGTGACAAAAGTTTTCAAAACCGTTTCTAGTCTTCGGTATTCCTATTTTTGGCGTGAGAATAGTTTGGGCAGCGTGAGAGCGTGAGATTGAGAGTGAAAGCGTGTGTCACACGCCAGATGCGTGAGAGTTGGCAACCCTGTAGTATCATAGACTATATATATAAAGGTGTGTATATATAGCTCTGAACGTTCCACTCCTGCCTGCCCGACCTTACGTTACGGCTGCGCCGCGACAAAAATAGGATTCGATCCTAATTTTAGAGGAGCCCTGCGCCGAGCCGCTTCTGGGACGCTTCTGAGCCGTAACGCGCCGCATGTGGTGGAATAGCACCCATTGACTAGAGTGGCCGCGATCACCGTGAGCACCGCGGCACAGCCGTAACGCGCCCGTACCGCGCCGCAGACGGACCCGGTGGAATCTAGGGGTCAGCCATGATACATACATGCGTTCAAGATGCGGGCTTGCATACACACCGTATCACTCCGCAGCCGCACCACATCAGTAACGTCCTGATGGTATATGTGTGCGGCACTATACTACAGGCCCCATGTAAAAAGCCACTTGAACTCCCCACTGCATCTATAGTTCGTGTAAAGAGAAACCCTTCAAAATAAAGTTTCTGCGTGTTCTTCATTTTAATGTTGCAGTTAATAAACACGGAGCTAAATGACTACTACTACTCTAAACTGATGTGTTGCTTAATTTATAATAATGGAAATAGGTCTATATTAGTGGGAATGGATGTTTGAAACTCATCCAAATCGTAACTTCTTATCTTTTCGTTCAGATCCGTGTGCAGCCACTAGAGGGAGACATGAGCTTTTGGTTCTTGACCATGGAGGTACTGTATACCTCCTGTGTGACACTTCCTGCTGATATGAGTTAGGGAACAAGTACCAGTGGTGTCATGTATTGAAGTACATTTACTCAATTAGTGTACTTAAGTACGACTTTGGGGTTCTTTACTTGAGTAGTACCATTTTATGCTACTTTATACTTCTACTCCACTACATTTTGGAAGCCAATATTGTACTTTTTAGTCCAATTCATTTATATTACAAAATGAGTTATTAAAATATTCAGATTATAAAAGAATACAAAGTATAAATAAACTAATAAACAAACTATGTTGTAAAAGTATAGGTTAAGATATAGAGCAGCAGTATATAAAGTAATTAAATTAGCTCCACATTTACCAGAAATTAGGAACACAATAATGCTTGAATAACAACAATCCAGTAAATTAATACATATGATTCTAAAATGGGAAAATTACAATTTTTTTTACTTTTGTTACTTTAAGTAGAAGATTTGGCAGGACTTGTACTTGCAGTACAAGTTTGACTTAAGATGTCTGGTGAAATATGAATGCCTTTAGAATGAGAAATTAATGACCAGATAACTGAAACGCGTTCTCCGGTTAGGATTTTATTTTGAAAGTTTCGGTATGGGTGGGGGCACTTGGCATCTCCAAGCATTTGCGCTGTCGAAGCACGTCTGGAGAGCGGTTTCCATCTGGATTTGAAACACACTGCCTAATAATATTAGACGTTCAGATTTGTCCACTTTTTGACTTGTTCTCAGTCATTCATATTTTACTTGTCTGACGTGAGAGCGTCACAGAAACAGTGTGAAGTAAAGTTGCCCGTCTTTGGACTGAACTACGTCAGATCCAACTGCTGGATGAGGGCTGGAAACATCTGCAGCGCCTCGTTCGGAGTGCGTAAAATGAAGCTGGATGGATCCGTTACGCATGGCATGGATGAAACCTCCCGGGAATAAAGCAAAACACAGGTTAATGGAGCATGATAGGAACCATTTGTCTATTTAAGGAACAGTTTTAATCGCACAGGAATCCCCATATCCAGCAGACAGGAATGAATCAGATGAGATGTTCCTCTGAGGAGCTGCGATCTCTCCCACCGAGACCCCCGAGTTTACCCGCAGCTTCACCGAAGAGACGCTTTGTCAAGCTGGGGAGGAAGACAAGTGATGGTTCCCATCAGTGAGTATTTACAAACTTATTTAAAAGAGTTATCAGGAGTATAAAAGTGTAATTGTGCCACTTTTTTGCTTTAAAAAAAAATATATTTTCTTTTCTTATGCTCCTAAACATTAATTTTGAGATACAATACTTGCACGTCTAATAGTTGTATAACTTCTGCCAATAATGTTCTGTAGCCTAATTGTTAAGGGGGGAGACTTTAGAAGGATTTGATGGTAGGAAATCAAACACCAACTCATAAAGGCATCTTAAAAATTAAATATTTTTATATGAATGCATTTTATTTTCAACAAGAATAGGATAATACTTTGATCAAGTCTGACATTTTTCTTGCAGCTCCATTTTCAAAATCAACAAGGACAGTTATTAAGACAAGATACAAGACATTTATCATACAATCACAGAAGACAAAATGTTAAAAACCCTTTAACACATTTAACCTCGGATTAGTATTTCATTCTAGGATTGACTGGTGCACAAAAAAAAAAAATGCTTCAGTCAACCTCATTAAATTATGGGATCCTGTATCTCCGATTTGATGGTAACACCAAAACAAATACCAATCAACTTCTCAGATTAAATCATTAAACAGCTGACAGTCTGCCATCATATTCCCTCAGTGTACTTTCTGTTGTTCTACAAGAGACTCCTACCAGTTTGACTGACATGTATGTATCCTCAATCTGTTGGCATTACTGCAGGGAACCTTTGAACCACAGTGATAAGAAGCTTACAGGCTTGGTGAGAAATAAAACAACACTTCATTATTTCATTAGCGAGCTGGGGGAGCATGGTGAATGAGACTGGGGAAGGCATTGTGCTGGTGACAGACATGTAGGTATGGAGCATTGTAGCAGGGAGGATAGAACAAAGGGATTTTTTGGGAGCATCATAATGCCCTGATGCAGTTTTTGCGCATTTTCTGCTAATTCTTTCTTTCTTGTCAGCATATTTTTCTCATGTTGATAACTTTACTTTCTCTTTTGATGTTGGAAACTGGTCCCTTTCGAGAAACCTTGTCTTACTGACCTTCCAGAGGTCAAATTCAGACGTCAAGGATACAGATCAGCTGCTAGTGAGTCAGCGTTCTGACTGACCTCCTTCTCCTCTGTTCTTCAGATCGGCTTCATCCACTGGCAGTTCCTCCACCAGCAGGTCAGCAGAGGGTGTGTTTGTCCGACAGCCCAGTAAGAGCCGCATCCGTCGCCAAACTAACCGCCTCTCAGGGGTCTTCCTCCGTGTCCCCCGCTCCAACGCAGGCTCCATGGCACTGCCAGCAGGCATCAGGACCTCCATCTCCAGCCCAGGAAGGAAGGAAAGCAGTACGTCACAGTGACTTTTTTGATATTTTAGCCAGTGGTTTTACATTTAAAGGTCAGTTTAGTCTCAGGGAGTCTCATGTTGCTCTGTAGGAGCTGTCCAAGTAACCCTTAAAACAAAAAGCCTCTATTACTAAGAGGGATTTGGCATGGAGGATCTTACAAAAGATGCAATTGGTTGAATTTTAAGAAAATGTAGAAGCAAAAGGATAGATAGAGGATTGATATTACATTTGCTGCTAATTTGTTGAACCCTTATCTTTCTTCTTTAAAATGTCTCTTGTGAGTAACCTCACTTCCTCAGCTGAGAGCCGTCTGTGTTCCCTTTGTTGCCATGTGTTGTGATGCAGTGATCTGTGCAGATGCTTTAGGAGCGGACGACCCATCCGAGCTGTCCAATCAGATCACAGCTCCAGGAATCCTGAAGATCTTTGGGAATGAGATCTGTGAGGGAGCGCATTATAAGAGCGTCCTGGCCACCACACACTCCAGCGCCAAGGAACTGGTCAAAGAGGCTCTTGAACGGTATGGCCATGTGTTATCTGAGCATGTGTGTGAGCGTCTGCTGGCCATATGTGTCTGCTTCGCATGTGGGTCCTTGTATGTCCATCAACTGCTGTAAAATACCTTTGTGCTACATCATTTGTATATAAAAGCAGTCAGAACTTGATGGCGGTTGATGAAAGGAGAGCATGTTCATGTTGATGTGGTTAATATATTTCAGAGGAATGAAATTAACCTGACCCTTTGTTCTGCTTATTATAATTGCAGCACAGTGCGAACAATGTGAGAGCCAAATCGTTTATTTAGTAGTTCTGAAAGGTCTAGAGCAAACAGCAGATCCGTGTGAAAGACAGCCAGTGTTGGCCATGCCTCTGAGGAGAGTGAAAGTCTGTCAGTCTCTGCTTATGTTACAGCCAACAGCATAATGGAATGATTAATAAAAAATGCTATTCAGCTTGTAGAGGAAAGAGTCAGTGAAAGTCTACAGTGTACTAGTGACATTTAGATATATCTTTACATCTCTTATCCAGTAATGGGTTAGCAAATACAGTAAGCCAACAGCAGGATAACGACTGCTGATAAGTTGATTCCTTTATTTGAAGCAGGTCTAATGGGATATCTATGATAAGGATATGAAGATTAGTTAAATAAACTTCTGAAAACAATCTTTTATGAGTCAGTATGTTTGCATATTGAAATGTTTCACATAAGAGCTGCTCTGATATCACTTTATATATAAATAATGGATTGAATGGCTAGATATGCTGTCGGTTTTCCTCAGTTCTTTGGAGTATTTGAGCTTATCTTAGCACATTAAAGCCTATAACTTTACTGTTCTGGTTAAACCTCTCTTTCAGCTACAGGCTGATATTTTTCCTTGCATATATGTATGCAAAGAAATGGGATAAAGTTGGTCGAAATGTAGTTTATATAGCTTTAGAGATTAGTGCAGCTCTGTGTTGAAGTGTCTGAAATTTGAAATCCTACAGATTTAAAGAAACATTGTGGAAGATATGGTGGAGTTGACGTTACGTTTTCACGTAATGTCAAAGACGTCTATGTATATATGTGAGTAGATATCTACTGAAACGAGCATGCTCACTGACTAGCCTTGGCTTGTCCTGTCTTTAAATAACACATGTCCCTCTGGTCGAAAAAAACGACTAGCACCACCGTCTAACTCTCACAGGTAATGGGAAGGTCTTTTGTTGGTCGTAGAGTGGTTGGCAGCCCTTGAAGAGGGACGTAGCTTCAGTCGGTTGGTAGAAGGTAAACGTGAAGGTCTTTGAGTCACAGCTGTACAAAAAACGATTATATTTATTGTTTTAAACCATCATCCTGCTGACTCAACTCCTCGAAAGTGGCTGCAGGCAATCGATGACTTAATTAGTACCCAAAAGGCATTTCCAAAAAACAGCTAAGCTAAAAATGAGCCTTATGAGTCTATTGCAGGCCACATGTTGGACTTAATCATGGCTCAAAACTGACATCCAAAGAAAAGTTTGGAACAGGAGTATCTGAAGGTTAACTTCATACCAGATATGTTATGTGTTATCTTTATTGACGTATTTAATGTTAGGAAGCTAGGAGGGACAATTAAGTGGGATGTGCACATGTTTTCAGTTATTCATTGCCATTTAAAATGCAGGAAACCAGTAGTTTCTAAAGGCTAATATTTGGAGAGCACATTTAGTCCAGTTTCTTTTATCATAATAAATAATATAATGTTTATTGTGACAATGTCATCTACTGTAGGTATGGCCTGAGCAAGGAGGAGGCCGACTCCTACGTCCTATGTGACACCATCGGCTCTACCCGAGATCATGGGTGGAGAACAGAAGGGTTTCGGGTCGTGAGCGACAATGAGAAGCCCCTCCTCCTGCAGTCACTATGGAAACCCAGAGAAGGCCTGGCGAGACGCTTCGAAATCCAGAGGAGAAGCTTAGTGGAGGAAAAGACATCCAAAGACAAAGACACCATCACTGCTGGTAGGGTGTCTGACTTCAGCCTCATTTCACACCACATCCTTATTTGGGGTGTGAGCATGTCTTGGAATAAGAGTTTGCACCATTACATGTTTTGCCAATATTAAATCCAGTTTTGTGAGTTCTCACAGTAGAAATGTGGTTTGTTGGCACGCTGTTTTTCCAGTGAACACCAGCCAAGCCACACAGACCAAACTGTATTTTAATAAGTCTACAGTTTTTCTTTCATTTCAATTTATTTTTCAAATGTATACTTCATTCTTACTGTTGTTAAAAAGGCCAGTGAAGTTTAAAATGTAATTTGCAGACACTATGTGATTCAATTAAACTTCTTCCAGTGACACACCCTTTTTTTACAACACTTAAAGAGGCCCTATTCTGCTTTTTGGGGATTTCTTTTTCCTGTAGTGTGATATATAGGTTTGTGTGCATGTAAATGGACTGCAAAGGCCAAAATCCCTGTGTTCCTCCAGAGGGAGTTTCTCTCCCACACACTCCCCCCCTGCCTGAAACGTCTCCATTGGACTCCTTTGTTTGTTACCATAACATAATGATATCAGTATGTAACACTTGCTCTTCTATTAGCAAACACTCTAAAACATTTAAGGGGGGGGACATCTGTAAGCAACAAAGCCGGAAAAAGCTAACCAATCAGAGCAGACTGGGTTCTGGTTTCAGACAGAGGGTGAAAAGAGGTGCTGCAGCACAGGCAGTATGAGAAAATGCCATAAAAGCGTTTCATAGCAAATGTTCTTATCTGTTGATATTATCAAAAACTGACGCAGCAGAATAATACCCAGAACTTTCCGTAGATGCAGGGCACAAACACTTCAGGGCACAGTAAATGTGCAGGGTGGACCCCTCACTATCATTTCCCCAGCTGTGGTTGACACAGCTGCGGTCGTGGTGTGTGTGTGCGTCCTGTTGTGTGTTTTCTTTTATGAATGGCGCAGCCTGTGACAGCCTTCTATCAGTGTCAGCTTGTCGATGCCTGCTGAGTGGGTGTGTTTTTTTATTTCCATGAGCTCTGTCTTTCTTTCCACTGAGGTCTGTTTCCTGTGTGGGGCTTCTCCATGTTGACTCTGGCATAAACACACCATGTCCAAATGACAGAACACACACAAACACCTCACAGTATCTTGGGGAAAAAACGGGTGTTGCCCTATCACTACATTCCATTACTAATGTGTTTGATGTATTTATATAGCAGCTTAATTGAACAGTTATTATTTGTTTGTTCATCTCCCTGTTAGGTATCAATGCCCAGGCGAGAAAGCTGCAGAAGAGCCGCTCCAGAGTGACCTCCACGTTCATAGAGAGGACCATGGGGCGAGGCCACAAACTGTGGAGGAGCCAAAGTGAGATGGACCTCTTAGACTCTGAGACCAAACAGGAAACCGATCAATGCCACAAGGAACGCAGAGACAGTCTGAATCAAACCTCAGTGCAATGCTACGAGCGATCAAAAACAAGCCCAGAACAGAATCACAGTCGCAGCCTGGCAGTTCCCTCGCAAGGGGACGGTGGGTCGCAGCCCAAAACAGAGACCCTCTGTCCGGCCAGGCTGAGAAGGGAGCGGGAAGGAGAGGAGTCGGAGAAGGAGGAGACGGAGAGCAGCGACGATAATACCACACAGTACTCCATTCACCCTCCTCACGACTGTCCCTACCTTCTGCTGCTGCAGGGCTGCAGCCTCACACAGGTATCTCATTCACACACTCTGCAGTCAAGGGGGGAAGTTGGCCGAGTTATTTTGGGTTCCCTTTTTACTGGAAGTATAAGTCCCATAGCTGTGGGCAATGTTACTCACAGTTTGAGCTGTTCTGTGGCTTGGATGGTATTGGAAATCATGGTAATCAGTCCAGATGTGCAATTTGTTACATTATCAAAGGTAAGAACTTGTTAGGAAACATTTCAACATTTCAAGGCCCAGGTTAACTCCCAAGGTGCATTTCAGCAACAAAACAAACATCCTCCAAGCTTTGAATTCAGTTACATGTGCCACTAAACGAGGGTGGCAATGGTGCTCTGTTATACCAACGTTTTTTGAACTTGTAGCCACTTTTTTGGTGCCTGGTTCATGAGTATTCTCGTATTTAGCCATGCAAAAATTACAGACAAAATATATAATTTCTTCGAAACAAACAAAAATGGTGGCTGTAACATATACCTACATATTATTACATCTTCCAGAAGTGTCAAGTGTTTATATGTTCAGTAAAACTGAGGAAAACTGTGCACCAATAGCCCGACTCCAAAGTCTATGGGAATCGTAATTTTATTTCGGAGAACACACTGTCCCCAGCTAGCTAGCTAGGTAGGTCATCTATTACCATTTCACTTGGTAAAACTGAAATATGAATATAGCTGGTAACAGCCAATCGTACAACCAAAAAAATATGATCATGGGATTATTACTCAGGATCTTGCCGTGAGTGTATCTACAGCAGGGGTGTACAAACTATGGACCGGGGGCCAACTGCGGCCCGTTATCCATTTTCAAATGGCCCTCAGCCAATTCTTAAAGTATAATAGAATATGGCCCACACATGAAACTTGTGCTTGTCTTGTGTTGTACTTCTTAAAAATATATGTACAAATAAATTACACAGTGTTCATGTGTAAATAAGCGTATCGTTTTTCAAATAAATTCAGTCAATCACTGTTGCCCAATAACGTATTTGAATAACAAGCTTGACATACTGTATACCCTTCCTATTTCCCCTTATTATAAGCAATCTCAGGCTTCTGTTTTAAGGAATGATCTGATCTTTTTCAAAATAAATGAAACCCTGAAGCCCACCAGCCGGAAACAGTTTAAGTGTGCCATATAAAAGTTGTTTACTGTCAAAATTATAACAAAAATAACTGCTACACAAAATCATCACATGTGGCAGTATACAGTCCAATGGAAGGCTTAATGTGTTTTAGTTTTGCTAGATACCTCTGTCTGGATGACTAGTTGCCATTTAGCTTGTAGATCAAGGTACTGCACCAACTATGTGCTAGCTAGCTATATGCTAATGCCAGTCATCATTTTAGCCACTAAAATCAATGGTTATCTGCCAGAAATGAGAGGCTGCTTTTGTCTTCCTGTAAATCGAATAACCCATTGTTTAAAAAAGAAACTACTCTATATTGTATAGGTTTAACTCTTTGCTACAATAACTGGTCAACTGTCAAATTATCTTTTTTACCTCTTTACAACGTACAACCTCTTATATAAGTTACTGAAATGGATGCAGGCTTTTATTGGCTTCTACACAAAATGGTCATTGTGCATTACATTTTTAAATTTTTAAATACTGCGTTATACCTGATACACACCTGCAGCCCTAACAGCATGTTATCTCAGAGTAAAGAGAGACAGAGAATCATTATGTGAGAGGTCAGTCAACAGTAGGTAGAAAAATGTTGTGTCATAACACTGATCAGGAAACAGAAAAAGACTACCCTGGCTGCTTCCTGACTGATTACACATGGTGTTAATGGTGAGCAACAGCCACACACAGAGCAAATATTCACATACTGTTGTGATTTTGACTCTGCGTCACACTTGTTTTCCCAAAAGACCTCTTATAAGAATACACTAGTGCAAGGTTCACCAAATCTATCTCTGAAGAATGCATTAAATGTTTTTAATCTTTCCTGTTGGAAAAGATTGGGTGTCAGGCATAATAACCCCCGAACATTGTGCCTGCCACTTACTGTGATTAATCAAACATTGTTTGTCTAATCAGGCTCAGATCAAGAATATAATTCTAATGCCTCCACATGATTAGACTGCTTCACTCACTGTTGTTTCGTAGCTGTTCAAAGTCCAGCAGCAAAACCCAAAGAGATTCAGTTTAACTTCAGGTCAAAAACTGAGAAATTAAGGAATTATCAATTTTTTGGAGCCTGAAAACAGCATGCCATGCCATGTTTGCACAAATGTTACTTTAAGGTTGAATAGATTATTAGAACGGCTATGAATTATTATTCTGCCTCCATTGAACTCCTTTGTTTACTTCCGTAACATAACGACATCACTATGTAACACTTACGCTTCTATGGCTAGCGCTCAGACACATTGTACGTTCGTTTCAGACAGACTAATTGATTAGCTCTACCTACGAGTGACACAAAATGCAGGATTAAGTGCAGTATTTGAGTAAATGTAGGTTACTTGGATCGTTTTTAACACTGTTCATTTGGAATAGACATAAAACAGAAAACAGTTGGCTAGTTTTTGTAAGCAACGGTAACAGTGAAACCAACAAAGAAGAAAAGAACAGCACAATATCAAAATAAATCTCAATGACAATATGTAGCAGTACTGGAAACAATGATTGTGAGTCAAAATCAAATGTGTTGCATGTTGTGTGGTAACTTTGTAATGTATCTCTCTACTCAGGACTTTGTCATCTACCTTCTTGCTGGGCCAAAAGTTCTATTTGGTCGGCAGCTTGATCCTGAAGACGAGTCGAAGCCTGGCATCCTTCTCTTTGCCAATGACACTCTCCTGAGGCACTGTTATTTCAATCGCCATGGCGCTGGCGGCCCCACCATGCTGTCCCCCTGTCAGGACGCCGTGGTGATGAGAAATGGCGAAGCGTTGAGCGAAGAAGTGCAGCTCAACAGTGGTGATGTCATTGGGATGGGACAGCACTACCTGTTTCTATTTAAGGATCCATTTGCTTCCACACACAAGGTAAAAGTGAGATGCAGAAAGGAAAGAAATAAAGGCACATTTGCACAAAAACGAATTCCACATATGTATAAATGCTCCTTCGTGATTCTTGTTTCTTTGTTTTGGGAAATGAAGGATGTTGACAATGCTGCTCCTGAGTCCAGTATGGCTGCCCTCCCCTGGATGCTGAATCCTGCCACTACAACCAGCCACACAGAAGGAATGATCCTCTGCAACACCTGCCTCACAACCTGCACTGACCTCAACTGCTCCAGCTGCAAACAGTCACTAAACAGAGGCCTGCCCTTTTTGAAATCCCCTGAATGCCACAGCCTGACTCTGCAGTATGAGAGTGGAGATGAGGATCACATCGTCAGGGAGATATTTGCCATGGGAAGGACCAGCAGCAACGACAGACCCCCCCTGACTGCTGCATTTCTGCTGTGTATGTGTGTTCAGCACTCAGCCTCATGTCTTCAAACCTCAGATCTGCGCAGGCTGCTGTTGCTCATAGCAAATGGAGTTCAGACGGCCATGTGGGTGAGTGGAACAGCTGCAATGGTTATTGGACTAATTGATTAGTTGATCGGCTGAAAAATAATCGTCAACTGATAATTGATTATGTAATCTTCCATGCAAAAACCATGCAGTTTCAGCCTTTCAAATGTGGAGATATCCTGCAGTTTCATATCATATTCAGGGGAATGTTTTGGGGTTTTTGAATGACAAAACAAGACATCTAAAAACATAATCTTTGACTTGTGGAATTTCACTTTTTACAGACTAAATGATCAATCATTAAAAAAATAATGCTAGGTTACCGTCCTACTGAATTGCGGTAAAAATGCTATAGAATGTCTCCTACTGTCGTTTTAAAATAATTTACTGATATTAGATTATTTTGGAAATAAATATTAAACAATAAAGCACAATATAAACACAAATAAAGAAAAAATGCAATTAAATGGTCACAGTTGCATTTAAATGAGCTCATGCTCCTGTTCGCAATGTAGCTTGCTATCTGCTAGTTTATGCCAATAATTGACAGTTTTCAGAACACCCAACAATTTTAGGATGTCAAGTCTCCTTAAAACTCACTATAAAGACTTATTTTTATGCACAATAATTTTGCTGCTTCAACTCTATATGATTTATTTGTGGTTTACCAGATTTATAATTATCATTATATATTCCTGCCAACTGCATAGTCTATTGGTATAACATTGAAATGTTCTAAATTCATATTTTCTTGTCTAACAGGAGCACACTAAGGACCTAGCTGCAGTGAAACCTGAAGTGTAAGCAATCTTTACTGAGTTATCTTCAGCATCACTTACCTTACATTCAAGTTTAGATACTAATCTGCAGATCTTTTCTTCTGTATGGCTAGTATTGATGGTGGAAGCTCAAACCCAGAGGACCTCAGCCAGCAGGAGGTTATATCAGGCCTGCGCCCCCTGGTGGTGTGGATGTCCAACAGCCTGGAGCTGCTGCAGTTCATGCAGTTCCAGCTGCCTGTGATTCTGCAGTGGAGAACCCAAAAAGAGCACGAACAGGACGAGGACAAAGAGGTGGAGGACCTGGGTTAGTCACCTGTTGAGCTTTGAATTTGTTAAATATTGTTAAGTTCATTTTTTCCTACCTTAAAAGAAAAATCATGACCACACAGATGTGCATTAATGTACATTACATGGCTTAAATGCTTTTGTCTAAAGTGACTTAGACCCATTGGATGGGGATCAAACCACTGACAACCCTGATTGGTTGGCGATCATTTTAACCCTGAACCACAGTCACTTGTTATGCCCAAAGTAATTTATGGTTCAGTGATGGGTCACATAAGTCTTTGCTTATGTGACCCTTATGCTTAAAAGGCCAGCTAACTAATGATAATAAACATTTTCTTTGTAAAAAGAGAAGGCATCCCAACCAAAGCTGACAAAAGGTATACAGTTGCTTCGTGAAACCTTTCTAGTATCACACATATTTGACTGTGATTTCAGCCCTGTTGGAGATGCGTCTGTCCTGTGTCAGTTCAGCCAGCGAGGAGACAGTGGCTGTCCTGGAGGAAGTCATCATGCTCGCCTTCCAGCAGTGTGTGTACTACATCACCAAGGTGAGAGGACGGCCAAACACACCTATAGTTTACACAGCATTAAAACAAACGTACCATACTTAAAGTGGACCTATCATGCTATATTTGAATAATATAGTGTAGGACCATACCTATATAAGGCATATTTATACTTTTTTTTTTTCAAAATACCAAACAGATCATGCATTTTAGCCATGCCTCATTTCGCTCAGTTTGCACTTTTTTAGCTCTGTTTTTGCAAGGGCTGATTCTGTGAGAACAGCACCATCTACAGGCCTGGCATATGTACTACATCGTCTCCAGCGCTTTCGAACGGCAATGGCCGTGGCTGTCTCCTGATAGGTGGAGAGTTGGCCCAATAGCCGTAGCGCCACCGTCCTGACGTCAGGACAGTGTTCAAATCTGGATCAGTTTTTATCAGATCCGTTGCATCCCCTTTTTTAGAGATTTGGGTATGGAGGAAAATAGAGAAGGTTGTGTTTTCTGACACTTGGTGAGTTCCCTGGAACACCGGGGACACATATTCATGTACCAAAGACGTACAAAAGTGCATTTTGCATGATAGGTCCCCTTTAAGTAGTACTCCGGTGTCTTGGTAAACTCAACATCTACCTTACCTTAGTGAACAAGGAACTTTTCTTGACCAAAATAGTTCATCTGTTCCTCTCACTGATGATTATGAAGTGTCGTTTTAAGAAAATTAAAATCAGACACAGGCTGAAAATAAAGAGCCCAGTGAGCAACTCTCACAGCTCACTAAAGACCAACCAGTGACACTGCCAGACCACACTGAGGGCATTATGACACAGAGACAGACAGGACACCACGCGCGCTTTATATTGGACCTTTGAAAAGACTGAGAGACAAAGAAAAGTGTTGCCCATGTAGACTTTCAGTGAACCCATGAATGGCAGCAGGCAAAACTAGAGTACATATTTCTCTGTTTGGCTGCTGAGGAAAATATTTAGCTTGTCTCCCGTTTACATGGCAGTTTCAAGGTACTTCTGTGAACTACAGTAGGGTGGTACTATCTAAAGTAGAACGTTATGGGAGTAGATTAAAGCAGAGTTGAGCTGTGCCATGTGGTAGAATCAGTGTTTTACAGCAAGTAAAAGCTGCTCAAGGCAAGATTAAAAAAAATGACCTCTTGACCTCATCAATACTGTTATATTCCCTGTAACAATGGATCAAATTATTTTGTGTAATGTCAGAAGGGTTGCTGTTTCTGTAAGAAATAGAAGCAGTTCATCAGCTCTACTAAGCATCTTAAATTATTACGGCTTTAATTCAATCTTGCCAATGGTAAGATTGAATTAAACGGTAACCATTGTCATCACCCTTTTCCAGACTGCCCAGCATCAAACAAAAGATACAAGTTAGTGACTAGCTGGTAAACATTTAACAACATAAACAGACATTTCTCTTAGCTAAAAAGGAGAGTACATTATTGAAATGCCAAAGAGGTTTTTTCAGTTTGGTTTTGTTTGACAGCATTATAAACGGAAATACAGGGCATTTTCTTTAATGAAACATATTAAAAGGGAGGGGCCTGAGCTGGATTCAATTTGGGACTGGGTCAGAATAATGCATGAGAAACACATATAATGGTTCATATCCTTTTACATTGCAAATAGGACATGGCCTTGGAGAAGGTCTGTGCTATCCAAGTTCCCTTCTAGTTGGTAATAATGGATTTTCTGGTTAGCCAGGACAAAACTCAGAGAAATGTTATTGTTACTAATGTCTGCCGATTTGTTGTTAAAGCGTGGATTACTAACGTTAATGACAACTTCAATATTGCACATCCAAGTTGTCACACTGCCACCAAGTGGAAGAAAATAATAATTAAAAACTGTTATTTTTTTATTGCAATAATTGAAACATTGTAGATTAACCTAATTGCTTAAATGTCTACCATGGTCACTTGCAACAATGTAGATAAATAGTAAATGATGTATGATACATTTTGGACCAAACTCCATTGAATGATCTCTTCTTGCGTTAACTCATCACCCTGACAAATAACATATTGTTTTCCTCTTACCTGCTCTTCTTGTTACCATTTATTCTCCGTCTATAAAAGGTAAATAACAAAGCTTTAAACACTCTACTTGATTGTGAAAAGTTTGTTTCATGCTATATTCTAACCGAGTGTTACTTGGAAAAAGAGAGAACGACATGTATTGTAGTCACATTCATTTGTGTAGAGTTTCACTGAACCACCACACCCATTACATGGAAGTGTGCCGGGAAACTGTCAGACAATTTTCCAGTTGGGCGGTGTGGGTGTGGGCAGAAATACCATCCAAAAGAATACTAATGCGGGGATTGGCCTACAGTATTCACTTGTCTTCAGTCAGTAGCTGAATTAGGAATCATCGCTGATAGCTGAGCTGCATGTCCACTCAGATTCTTTCCTGCGAGGCCTGACGTCAAAGGAAACATGTCGAGTAGTAGCCACATCAGAGGTCGCACTAACACAGCGCTGGGTCTTCAGTTAGCTGCAGCCATGCCAAGGTCCCACTCCTCTCTGGGGATTCAGACAGACAGGTCCAATGCATCTTCTGTATCAGTTTCCCATGCAGGAAGGAAGTCAGTGATATGGCATTGAATCTCCAAAGAGGAAACTTTAGGAATTCCTGAAAAGTTGCTGCCCTGCAGGTTTTGGACAGCACATATTTTTGCTCTGTGCAGGAGGATGTGGTTATCTAACTACCTGCATGTACTGTATTTCTTTCAGCAAGTCTGCCTGATCAACCAAATGACTTCCAGATGTGGTTTGTCAGGAAATCCAGAAATAATCCAGACATATAATACCGTATGTTCATGACGATTTAAAATGTATGTTCACTTACCTTACACTCTGAGTTCCTCTGTTTTTAAGATTTCACAGGTTTGATCCCATGAGACTGGTTGGGTACACGCTCATTTGTCTTGTAATATCAATCCATAAAGTACGTTTTCATAAAAATGTGCGTGCAGAACCAAGCAGTGATCCTGAGTTAATTATTTCCCCAAAAATGCATGAATATAGAAGATATAGAATCTACATTGTGGCGTTTTTTGTAAGGATTATGTTACGATTCGGGAAAAAGGTAGGACCCAAATGCAGTTTAAAAAGGGAAGCGGGTTTCAAAATGTAACAAAAACCGAGCTTTATTTACAAATAAATACTTAACAAAACCATGAATCCAAAGAGTAGGTAACACGAGGTAATCCAAAGAGTCGGTAACACGAGGTAATCCAAAGAGTAGGTAACACGAGGTAATCCAAAGAGTAGGTAACACGAGGTAATCCAAAGAGTAGGTAACACGAGGTAATCCAAAGAGTAGGTAACACGAGGTAATCCAAAGAGTAGGTAACACGAGGTAATCCAAAGAGTAGGTAGCACGAGGTAATCCAAAGAGTAGGTAGCACGAGGTAGCATCCAGACAAAACTAACCGTGACAAACATGAAGGGTGACAGGAAAGACAATGAACCGACATGGAGCACAGGGGAAGACAAGACTAAATACACAGAAGGGTAATCACAGGACAAGACACAGCTGGGCAGGGGAGGCAGAAACACAAGGGCAACAGGTGAACACAATCAGACAATCAGACACAGGAAGGCAAACACAGGAAGGAAGACAAGACACAGGGAGAACAGAATTTCAACATAAAATCATGACAAGACAGACAACTAAGATTGTGACAGAAAACTAGGATTGTGACAGATTATGCCATCAACTACGACAACAGACATTCAAAACTCAAAAGAAGCTTTAAATGTAAATAAATCTGACATTATGTACATTATTTACAAATTAGCAGTAAAAGCAAAGTGCAGCTGAGGCTGATGGGAATGTACCGGTAAGTAGTTTTGTTTTGCAGGATTTTGTTTTGCAGAATTATATTTTACGAATCTTTACTTAGGTCTGTTTTATAATTGTGTGTGTGAAAGACACTAAGTAATGTGTGTACCTGCCAAAGGACTGCAGACGGAAATGAGCTTTTAGCTATAATCTGACATGTAGCATACTTTCTCTCTTTAGGATTCATGTATTTTTATGCATGGTCCTTATAGAAATAGAAAAAGACATAGTATATTGACATTAACCAGAGTGTTGGATAACATGAAACCTTGACATGCTGGTGGCACTGGAGGAAATGTAAGTGGATTACCAAACTCAGTAATGTTCATCTTCTGGGGAAAACGAAAGTCATGGCAATCTGTGGAATAGGTGTTCAGTTAATTGATGGACTGCCACACATTGACTATATAAACACAGTATTGCTCATCATGAAGAGGCGAAGCTAACAGCATGATGCATCTGAGGGTTACCTGACGCTGGCTATGATGCACAGTATTTTTGCCTCCTGAACAAAGGAGAAAGAATTCAGTGCTTCCTTTCTCTGTGGAGATCTCTAGAAAACGTTGTTATGAAGCAGGCACAGCGCTTTCACAGGTTAAGCAGATTTTTGGGATTTAGCTGGGACATAGTCTCCGTTTTCCTTGTCAGACCAGGCGTGTCGTGTCATCCATCATGACTGTCACTTCACAGCAAGCTCCCATCCTCATCTCACTGCACTGCAGACCAGATTTGTGAGGAATGTGGTGGAGTCACCAGTGTCAAGCTGAGCGGTAATCTAGATAAGGCCTAATCATTTACCCTAGTATGTATCCTCTCCCTTTACTAGCAGTGAGTTGACATAGTGATTTATGTCAGGGCTCATGTCTGACCCCGGGTTCAGTTTGTGGAGGAGAGATTTGAGTTTAGGTTCCAGGGTGAAAAAAAGGCAAACAGATCTGAACTTCATCTTCTTCTGTTTCTATCTTTTTACCCTCTCATCCAACAAGACAAAAAGTTCAATAACTCTTTTATTTTCTGTGGTTACATTTGATAAATCTCTGTTTATTTTGGAGTATTTCATGCTCGCCCATCCGATGTGAGGGTAATTGCTCTGGGATGGAAAACAAAAGGCGCCACTGGTGAGCAGCTATTCCAACTAAAGACATGTCATGACGGATACAGACGCAA